ATATATAGAAGTGCGCTCAAATGAGAATAAATCACAATGAAAGAAATAAGAATGATTTTAGACCACTAGATTCATTTCATCAATAACCATGATCAAGTCAAATTTTTTAAATAATGGTTAATCATTAATGGTATTATAGTAAATAAATAATAATATTATGGTCAAATATATGTATTTGACCATAATTAAGGTAACTTAGGATAACTCATCCAGTGGGGCCTAGTGCCCACATCAACCATTCAACAACAAACCATCCGTCACTACCCTATATCTCCTCTCTCTCTCTCTCTCTCTCACATACACAACACACACTCACTTGATGCCCTACCTTTTCCCCTTCTCTCACACACAACACACACACACACTATTTTTTCAGAAACAAACACACACACACACACAGTGTTCCGGCGATGACTGCTTCGTCCCGCTACCTTCTGCCGCGCCGCCTCCATCCCCCACAGTCGCTAGCACAGTATCCTCCTCCCGCCTCCCACAGCAACTAGCCACGCCGCAGGTCGCGATCTTTGCTGCCCCGCAGCCGGCCGACGAAATAACCGACAAAGTTGACTCTTCTTCTCCGACGGCCATCTACAGGAGGATGCTATCCATATCCGTCGCTGAACATAGCGATTGACAAGGTCGCGCCGGCGTTTTTCTTGGAGCTGCCATTGTCCAGACATTAAGCGGCGGTTAGGGGACGGTGGCACCGGATGAGCAGCCCCCGTGGTGGCGTCTGGCGATGGGAGGATGATGGCAGAGTGGCGGACAGCGGGCGGGGTGTGAATTTAATGAGTATGTGTTTGTTCGTGATATTTTGTTGCAGGGACTGTATATTGAGAATTAGATGAATCCTAGGGGCCTTGATGCAATTTCAAAATTTTTAATTTACTGCAATTTAATATATGCAGCAATCTTGTAATTTAATAAAGGCTAAAATGCATTATTGGTCCTGACTTTTTGATGTCCGTGCAATTTTAGTCCTCTCCTATAGGAATGTGGCACATTTAGTTCCGCAATTAAATTTTTTGGCGCAATTTTAGTCCTTCTCACGTCAATTTTGGGGATTTTTGGCCGGAAATTGCACGTGCCGCCCACGTGACCCATTTTCACCCGATTAATGTCGACCTGGCCCGATTCTTGCGCACATGGCCTTGCACCTGCTCGACGTGGAAATAAAAACATTAAAAAATAAAAAAATAAATAAAAAATGAGATGGCAAAGTAAATTTCCACCTCGGACAAAATTGGAGGGAAAATGGACGGCCCGTAAGTATTTATATTGCCCTAATTTGTTCATACGTCCCATGAACCCTAATTTTTCAATCATGGAGGAAGTATCAGAGGGCTCCTACATTGCGTCGGGGAAGGAGTGCGATTGCCGCAAACCAAGTGTTGTTCGTACATCTTGGACATCCGAAAACCCAGGAAGACGGTTCTACTCATGCAATTATAAGGTATCTTCCAATTTAAGTTTTGAAATAAAGAACCCTAATTTAGCAGAAATTTTAATTTTTTTTTGTTTTATTTTGTATTGATCAGAAAGGAGGAGGGTGCAATTTTTTTTGTTGGGTTGATGGGCCGATGTGCACTCGGTCGGAGCAATTGATCCCTGGACTACTGCGCAAATCAAACGAGCTGCGCCGGATTCTTCAAGGAATTCAAGAAGAAAATGATAAACTGAAGGAGGAAAAAAAGAACTTGGCAGCTGAGATGAAAAGGCTGAAAATTTCCATGAGGACCAAGTCAAAGAGTACAATGTGGTTGTTCTTTGTTGAATCTGCTATCATCTTGTATCAGTATCTGAATAATAAAGACTGTGGTGCCGAAGGTTCATTTAAAACGAGTCTATACCATCACCCACGATGAGGCCGGCCGCAACACAGGTACTATGTCCGGAATGGTTTCTATCTCCAGCGTGTCTGTCTTTGCATTGTGTGATACCGATCCTACCCATTCTTTTATCTCTTCTTGTTGCTTGGAAGCCTTGTCTATTAGCACTGTGAGTTCTTGTGATCCTCTCGAGGTTAGTCTAGCCTCCAGAAAAATTATTATCTCTGATTCGGTGGTTCGCAATCTTCCTATTTGTATTGGTGGTCGAGTTCTGGAGGCCGACGTGTATGTAATTGAAATTCGAGACTTTGACGTGATCTTGGGCATGGACTGGCTCACCCGTTATCGAGCCGATATCCAGTGCCAGGAGCGCAAATTCACCCTCTTTCTCGTCTTCGATCAGCCTATTGTGTTCTATGGGGTGAAGTCGAGGACTGTGCCTCGAGTCATCTCTTCTATGCAAGCTAGGAAGAGCCTTTCCAAGGGTAGTTGTCAAGGCTATCTTGTTTCCTTGGCATCCGATGTTGTTGATGAGCGAGAACCCGAGAGAGTATCCATCGTTTGCGAGTACCTCGACGTTTTTCCTGACGATTTGCCCGGAGGACCGCCCGACCGCCAGGTGGAGTTCACCATTGACCTAGTTCCAGGAGCCGGCCCCGTTTCTAAGGCCCCTTATCGCATGGCGCCAAAGAAGCTTCAAGAGCTCAGGGCCCAGATCCAGAAGTTTCTCAAGCTCGATTTTATTCGTCCGAGTGTCTCGCCGTGGAGTGCGCCCGTCCTACTCGTTAAGAAGAAAGACGGATCTATGCGTATGTGCATTGACTATCAGGAGTTGAATGCCCTTACAGTCAAGAACAAGTATCCCCTTCCCCATATTGATGACCTTTTCGACAGCTGAGGGGAGCCAGCATCTTTTCAAAGATTGACTTGCGTTCTGGTTATCATCAGCTGAAGATCCAGGAGTCGGATATTTCTAAGACTGTCTTCCGTACTCGCTATGGCCACTATGATTTTGTGGTAATGCCGTTCGGACTCAGCAATGCCCCAGCCATTTTCATGGACCTTATGAATAGGGTCTTTAATCCTTTCTTGGACCAGTTCGTCATTGTGTTCATCGACGACATTCTGGTATATTCTCGAGATATCGAACAGCACAAGGAGCATCTGAAGATTGTGTTGGAGACTCTTCGCCGCGAGAAGTTGTATGCTAAGTTCTCGAAGTGCGAATTCTGGCTGAACCGTGTGGCATTCCTTGGCCAGATCGTGACAGCTCGAGGCATTGAGGTGGATCCCAACAAGATTGAGGCATTGAGCAAGTGGGATACGCCAAGAAGTGCCGCGGATGTTCGTAGTTTCTTGGGGTTAGTAGGATACTACAGGAGGTTTATCGAGGGCTTCTCGAGGATAGCCCAGCCACTAACCAACCTTACGAAGAAGGCCGTGAGGTTCAATTGGAGTCCTAAGTGTGAGGAGAGTTTCCAAGAGTTGAAGAGCAGACTCACTACCGCGCCTGTCCTATCCATACCCGACCCTACTTTGGAGTTCACCATCTATAGTGATGCTTTGAAGATGGGTTTGGGATGTGTCCTTATGCAGCAGGGGAAAGTCGTAGCATATGCTTCGAGGCAGCTGAAGCCTCACGAGCAGAACTAACCCACTCATGATCTCGAGTTAGTTGTTGTCGTTCATGCCTTGAAGATTTAGCGGCACTAGCTCTATGGAGGCAAGTGTGAGATCTTTACCGACCACAAGAAGCTGAACATGCGGCAACGTAGGTGGTTGGAGCTGGTCAAGGATTACGACTGCACCATTAGCTACCATCCTGGGAAAGCTAATGTGGTAGCCGATGCCCTTAGTCGGAGGAGTTATGGCCAGCTATCTTGCTTATTCACCGAGCAAGATGTTCTTCTTCGGGAGTTCGAGCGACTACAGCTAGAGGGAGTGGAGTCCACTTCAGCAGCCGGGGGTATGTTGACCGCCTTGGTTGTGGGAACGACTCTTCGGGATTGGATAGTCGTCGGGCAGCCGAATGATCGTTTCCTATGCTGGATGAGAGAGTTGTCGGAAGCCGGTAGAATTAGTGGATTTACAGTCGCATCTGATGGGGCCTTGGTCTTCGAGGGTAGACTTTGTGTCCCGAAGGTGTGGGTACTGCGAAAGGAGATTTCGAGGGAGGCCCATAGTGCCCCGTACACCATCCATCCTGGTAGCACGAAGATGTATCAGGACTTGATGAAGTCTTTCTGGTGGCGAGGCATGAAGAGGCAGGTAGCGAAGTTCGTGGATGGGTGCCTGGTGTGTCAGCAAGTGAAGGCTGAGCACCAGAAACCAAAAGGGTTGTTGTAGCGCCTTGAGGTTCCCCTGTGGAAGTGAGAGTGCATTACCATGGATTTTTTGGTGGGACTGCCGAGGTCGAGGGCCGGGCATGATTTGATTTGGGTGATAGTGGATCGCCTTACGAAGTCTACCCATTTTCTGCCAGTTCGAACGACCATGAAGACGAGTGATTACGCCGAATTGTTCGTCAAAGACATTGTTAAGCTTCATGGAGTGCCCGTGGAGATTGTCTCTGATCGAGATCCCAAGTTCACATGTCAGTTCTGGTGGACGTTGCACCGAGCCATGGGGACGAGGTTGGAGTTCAGTATAGCCTTTCACCCCGAGACAGATGGTCAGTCGGAGCGTACGATCCAGTACTTGGAGGATATATTGAGGGCTGTGGTCTTGGACCGGAGCCTGAATTGGGAGTATGCTCTTCCGCTAGTCGAGCTGACCTACAACAACAGCTACCACTCTTCGATCAAGATGGCCCCATACGAGGCTTTGTACGGACGTAAGGTCCGGACTCCTTTGTATTGGGATGAGATTGGAGAGAGGAGGATTACGGGTCCGAATTTTGTCCAGAGTACTACAGCGACAGTTGAGGAAATCCAGAGGACTATCAGGTCTGCCCAGGAGAGGCAGAAGGTCTATACAGACCGGAAGAGGCAAGAGCATGTTTATGCAGTGGGAGATCATCTCTTCTTGAAGGTTTCACCCATGAGAGTTGTGATTCGCTTCGGGAAGAAGGGGAAGCTTAGACCTCGCTATATCGGGCCGTTTGAGATCCTCGATCGAGTCGGGAACTTGGCTTATCAGCTGGCTTTACCACCGGACTTGTCGGGAGTGCACGATTTGTTTCATGTCTCGATGCTTCGGAGATATGTGCATAACCCTGATTATGTGGTGGACTTCGGCGAGCTGCTGGTCGAGCGAGACCTTACCTACGAGGAGGTACCGGCAGCCATCTTGGACCGGAAGGTCCATCAGCTGAGGAACCGGGCAGTGAGTTTGGTGAAGGTGCAGTGGAGCCGACACGATGAGTCGGAGGCGACTTGGGAAAAGGAGGCCGAGATTAGGAGGCGATATCCGAACTTTGAATTCTAAGTTCCTCTTTGTATTTTATTGCTTTCTAGATTGTTTATTTTTCAATTTCGAGGATGGAATTCTTTGTAAGGTGGATAGACTGTAATACCCCGTTCGATTGTTGATTATTTGGAGTTATTATTTATTTTTTTTAAATATTTGCTCTCCTTATTATTATTAATTGGGTATTGTGACTATTATTATTATTATTATTATTATTATTATTATTATTATTGTTGTTGTTGTTGTTGTTGTTGTTGTTGTTATTGTCATTAAATGTCTAATTATTATTATTATTATTATTATTATTATTATTATTATTATTATTATTATTATTATTATTATTATTATTATTAATATTGTGTGTATTATTAATATAAATAATCCGGTTTTATTTATTTATTTCGAGCCATATTCTATTAAATCGGATCGAGCGGAAATTCTTGGTTATCGTGTATATTTATTTTCGGTCCACTCGGATGATTAAATTCTAGCCCAATTGATATGCCTTTATGTTGGCCTTTTTACTATTTTTTTTTCAGCGCAAATGATATTAATATATTGGCCCAACTTGAGTAATGCCTTTGGTCCAATGTCTAGTATTATCTTGGCCCAAGATAATTAAATCGGCCGCCTGTTTCTCTCTGTCGAGACCGAGTCCTCGCCTTATCTCCACCTTCAAGCTCTGTTGCGATTTTCGTGGGAGTTCAAAGGAACGTTCTCCCCCTCTCTCGGATACTTAATAATCAGTTGGGATTTTCAACTCAAAAATCAGAAACATTCACCTCTCTCTCCCTCAACCTCTCTATTCGTTCTCGATAAAAAAATAATAATTAAATCGCGAAGCCTGCATATCCGGTGTCCACTATTGTTTCCGGCATTTCATTCCAACTGCCACGTCCTGTAAGCTGCGAGCTTGCCGCCTTCGTCCGCCCCGAGAGACCATAACCACCGTGAACCGTAGTCCGGTTTCTGCAACCACGAAGTTCCGCCCGCTATTGATTCCGGCGAGCACCTCCGAGCAGCTCCGTTGCGCCGACGTACACTCCAGCGAACAGCTGTTCGCGAGTAGTTCCCATGTTCAGAGTTCCGAGTCCCGTCGAGACTCCATTCATTCCGTCTCATTCTGACCCGTTTTTTCGATTTCTCGTAAATTCCCGAAGACGGGTATCCTTTCGAACCTCCTAGTTAATTGTTGTTCAAGATGTTATTATTTTATTTATTCTCGTTCGCGTGAAATCGTTCTATTATTCTCATGTTCGGTGAATCGTTTCTGGTTCGATTTTTACTGTTTTGATATGTTGTTGTTTCGTGAATTTTAAAGTGGATTGGAACTCTCGTAGTACCGCGTACGCGCTATCGCGCCCGCCCGCTGCTGGCACATCTCCGTCCCTTGCGTGCGTACGCCCGTAGTCCGTGCGCACCTTGCGCCCGTCCAACGCCCCGAATGCCAACGCATCCCAATCGACGCCCGTGGCCTTCTTGCTTACCGCGCACCCTTCTGCCGCTCGTGCACGATCACTCGGCCAAAGCGCGCCATCGCTTGTAGCCCTGTTGCGCGCATCATGGCCCGATGCGCGCCATTTGCTTATTCGTCCCTTGGCCACGCTCGTCCATTCACAGTAACCCCTCGCGCGCATCAACCACCCAACATCCACCCCCTGTGCGCCACTTCGCAAAATCGTCAAGCGCCATGCGTGTCTACGCCAATGCGCGTGTGCGCGCCCTTCTTGAATGCGCCCTTTTTCGTGTGCTTGTGCGCCTCGCATACGAGCTCGTACCCGTCTTTTAGGCCATGCATGCGTTGTTTTGGCTCTTTTTCTGGCCTCATCGGGTTGTCTCGGCTCTTGGCCCTTCTTGTCGTCGGGGCTCGGAACCCACTTCCGCATCACGCCCTCGCGCCGCAGCAGGGACTGGACGTGGCCTGCACGCACGGGTGCGTGCAACTGCTGGCGGGCGTGCGACTGGCA